GAGGCCCTTGGGACCTCTACCAAAAATACCAACAAGTCATATATCAATATACAAACTTAGTCGAATCTTCGAGTAACTCAAAACAACAACCAAACACCAAATTACCCTCAGATTCAAGCCTAAGAACTTCTAAATTTCCAAATTCGGCAACCGATGCCGAAACCAACCAAACCATGTCCGAATAATCTCAAATTTTGCACAAACGTCACAAATGACACTACGAACCTACTCCAACTTCCGGAATTCCATTCCGACATCAAATTTTTCATTGCCGACCGAAATCGCCAAATTTTCAATTTCGTCAATTTAAGCCTAATTCTACCACGGACCTCCAAATCACATTCCGGACTCACTCCTAAGTCCAAAATCACCTAACGGAACCATCAAAATTTCAATCCGAGGTCAAATGCTAAAGAGTCAAATTTTGGTCAACTCTCCCAATTTAAAGCTTCAACAATGAAATTCCTTCTTCCAATTCGATCCCGAAATACCTGCGACCCGAAACCAACGATTCACACAAGTCAAAGTACATCATACGGAGCTACTCATGCCCTCAAACAACCGAGCGAAGTGCAAATATTTAAAACACCCGGTCGGGTCGTTACAGTTATGCATGAAATTTACATAGCAAATAATTCAAGGGTTCTATTCCCTCAAGTCAAGGTTAACCACGACACTTACCTCGCTTTGCAACCAAAATTCAAGAATCCAATAAACCTTTGCCTCGTGTTCGAAATCCTCAAATCTAGTCATAAACAATTCAATATACTCAATAAAAATTGTAGGAATTAATTCTACATGAATTTACAAATTTTCCGGATAAAAATCCGAAATTTATTTTAAAAATCAACAGTGGGACCCACGTCTCGAATCCCGAAAAAACTCGCAAAATCCAAATACCTATTCCGATACGAGTTCAAACATACAAAAATTATCGGATTCCGACTTTGAATTGGCTTTCAAATCTTCATTTTACATTTTTGGAAGATTTTATAAAAATCTGATTGTTCTTCCATAAATTTACGGATTCATGATGTAAATGAGTATGTAATTATGAAGTATAATCAATATAAGATAAGGAACATTTACCCCAATATTTTCCCGTGAAAATCGCCCAAAAATCATCTTACCCGAGCTCAAAATCGAAAATGGTAGAAAATGGGACGAAATCCCATTTCTAGAACTTAAGTTCTGTTTGCCCGGATTTTTACTCATCGCAATCGCGGGAATTCGTTCGTGATCGCGTAGAACAATTTTTGCATGGGTCCATTTTACTCTTCGCGATCGCGGATAACGCTTTGCAATCGCGAAGCATATTTTGGCTGCCCACATTTTCAACTCTAAGCGATCGTGTAAATGGTCATGCGACCGCAGAGAATATTTTCTCAGCCTTACGCGATCGCGTACTGACTTGTGCAATCGCGTAGCACAAATGGCATGCCCAGCTTCTGCCTTCATTCCTTCTATGCGAACGCGTCTTGGCCCTCACGTTCGCAGTGCACTGGAAGTTAACCTTCCGCGATCGCATACCTATCTTCGCGAACGCGAAGGGTAAAACTCACGTGTAATAATTTCCTCTTCGCGATCGCAGGAATGGCTTCGCAATCGCGAATCACAATGCACCAGATGACAACAGAAGCTAAAAAACCAGATTTTTCTCAAAGTTCAAATGCCCCGTAGGCTATCCGAAACTCACCCGAGCCCTCGGGGCTCCAAACCAAACTTGCACACAAGTCTAAAAACCTCATACGAACTCGCTCGCTCGATCAAAATACCAATTTAACACCTAGAATTACGAATCGGACACCAAATCAAATGAAATTTTTAAAAAAACTTTAAAACTTCTATTTTCACAACCGAACGTCCGAATCACGTCAAATCAACTCCGTTTCTCACCAAATTCGACAGACAAGTCATAAATGACATAATGAACCTATAAAAATTTTCAGAATTCAAATCCAACCCCGATATCAATAAAAGTCAATTTGTAGTCAAACTTTGAAATATTTAAGCCTTTAGGCTTCTAGTTTTTGCCAATTGGCGATAATTCAAGTTAGGGGCCTCCAAATTAAAGTCCGGGCATACGCCCAAGTCCCAAATCACGATACAAACCTACCGGAACTGTCAAAACATTGATCCGAGTTTGTTTGCTCAAAATGTTGACCAAAGTCAACTTAGTTGGGTTCTAAGTCTCTATTTCACAGTTTAATCTATTTTTCATATGAAAACTTTCCGAAAAATTAAACGGACTGCGCACGCAAGTCGAGAAATAATAAATAGTGCTTTTCGAGGTTTTAGCACAAATAATTAATTATTAAATTTAAAGATGACCTTTTGGGTCATCACACCCGAGCTCAAAATCTTGAATAATGAAAAATGGGACAAAATCCCATTTCTAGAACTTAAGTTCTGCTGTCCAGGAATTTCTTCTTCGCGAACGCGATAGCACCCTCGCATTCGCGAAGTACATTTTTTGTGTTGTCCTAGATTTCTTCTTCGCGAACGCGAGAGCAGTCTCGTGAACGCGATGCCTTGCCAAACTTGGCCTTCGCGAACGCGAAGCCTTATCGCCTGGTGCCCGGCCAGGCCTCGCCCTTCTACGCGAACGCGAATGCTCCCACGTGTTCGCGATGAACACTGCCCTCTACCCCTTCGTGAACGCGGTCCCCTCTTTACGAACGCGAAGAGTAAATTTCGCCTGCTTCCAGTTCCTCTTCATGAATGCGAGACCTCTATCGCGAACGCGAAAAAGAAAACCAGACAGTGCATCAAAAAAATTCCAGCAGAGTTCCAAGTCCAAAATTCAACCCGTTAACCATCTGAAACTCACCCGAGGCGCCCGGGACCTCAACCAAATACACAACCAAGTCTTAAAATATCATACGAACTTAGTCGAATGAAACCTCAAATCATATCAAATAACGCTAAAACCACAAATCATACCACAATTCAAGCTTAAGGGACTTAAGAATTTTTAACTTCTACATTCGATGCCGAAACCTATCAAACCAAGTTCGATTGACCTCAAAATTTGCACACAAGTCATAAATGACATAACGGACCTATAAAAATTTTCAGAACTCGAATCCGACCCCGATATCAATAAAAGTCAATTTTTGGTCAAACTTTGAAATATTTAAGCCTTTAGGCTTCTAGTTTTCGCCAACTGGCGATAATTCAAGCTAGGGACCTCCAAATTAAATTTTGGGCATACACCCAAGCCCCAAATTACGATATGGACCTACCGGAACTGTCAAAATACTGATCCGATTTCGTTTGCTCAAAATATTGACCAAAGTCATCTCAGTTGAGTTTTAAGGTTCTATTTCACATTTTAATCAATTTCTCATATAAAAACTTTTCGGTAAATTATACGGACTGCGCACGCAAGTTAAAGAATGATAAATAGTAATTTTTGAGGTCTTAGAACACTGAAATAATTATTAAATTTAAAGATGATATTTTGGATCATAACAAAAATAGGCATGCTTGTGAGGGAGTGGGAGAAACGCGAGGAGCTTGTGTGTGCATCCACCATTGAGAATGTTGTGAGGAAGTTAATGGAATCAGAATAAGGTGATATGATTAGGAAAAGAGCAGAAGAATTAGGAGCAGCAGTAAGGCAGTTGACAGAGAAAGGGGGCGCTTCTCGAATGGAGTTAGATTCTTTCATTACTCATATCACTAGATAGACTTGTTTCTCACAAGAAATTTGCTATGGTTCTTGCTTTTCCTTATTCCGTCTTTATTTCTCTTTTCAAGTTTCGGTTTACCTTTTCAAGTTTTTCAATCCTGTTTGAATTCTCTATTTGTAGCTCAGACTAGATCATATCTAAAATATCTTAAATGATCTTGGAATGCTTCAGTACTATCTGAAACTCTTCATCCATATTTGGTTATACGACTATATGATTTTGACGTACCAGGAGGTTAGGGGTTCGTGTCGTAGAAACAGGCTCTTGCAGAAATGCAGGGTAAGACTACGTAGGATAAACCCTTCTGGTACGACCCTTCCCAGACGGCCGGACTCTCCGCATAGCGGGAGCTTAGTGCACTGGGCTGCACTCTACATGGAAAGGTTATACGTATAACAGTTCTATTGTTCTCTACAACTACATAAGTTAAAGTGAAGAAGAGTTTTGGCACAACTTGATGAACTGGAGATAATTGGTAATGAAGTAATATAGCTGAAGATTTCATTTCAAGAAAAGTTAAGTATTTACATTAAATGCAGCAAATTTATAAAGAGATTTTGGTAATATCTGTAGTTCAAAGCTTATAGGTCAACAATTTAATCATGTTCATTTTCTGTTCTAGAGGACAATTATCAAAACTGCTTGGTATTAAACATGTCTAAGTACAGACTACCAGTGTGTTGGGCTAAAACAACCCAAAGATACTCCGCAACTAGCTTCTTCTTGTTTATGTGCGTCTCTAAGCTTGTAAGAGAAAGTAAACCGAGCCCTACACTATTATTTTGCCATCGCCATATTCGTCATGCGGAACCTCGGCTCTAATACCAGTTGTTGGTCTAAAACAACCCAATGATACTCTTAACATGATGTAATATTGTCCGTTTTGGGCCAAGCCCGCACGGTTTTTCCCAAAAGGCCTCACACTATTAAGAGATCCTTATACCTTATATGTAGACTCTCAATCTTTTCAGCAACCAATGTGAGACTTTGTTCGCACACCCAATATTATAAATCAAACATCATTGCAGAGCAAGAAAAAAACATGCAGCAAACAAGAATCTATATAACTAAAGTCTTTTGTCATAAAACAGTGTAATATAGGATATATGGATACAACCAATTTATCATATGCAAAAAAACTGAGAGAAATACAAAGCAATAGTTAGAACCATATTTATTACTATTAGTTAAGCTACTCTCTCTTCACTGAGAGAAATACAAAGCAATAAGTTGTCTATCTTGTGATATGCGCAATGAAAGAATCCAACTTCATTTGAGAAGATCCCCCTTTCTCTGTAGACCGCCTTACGGCTTCTCCCAACTCTTCTGTTTTTTCCTAATCGCATCACCTTCTTCTGATGCCATTAATTTCGTCACAACATTCTCAACGGTGGATGCATTCACCAGCTCCTCGTATTTCTCCCACTCCCTAACTACTAACCCCACCCCTTTCACTCTTTCCTCAAACCCTTCTGGCAATTCAAGTTTTCTAGCTTTCCCAGGAAAGATATCTCCTTTATCGGCATCCCTCAACACCCATATGAACTTTTGTTTGCTTTGCTCTATTCCCATTGCGAGCTCCTTAATTTGTTCATCAGAAAATGAAGTTGATGTTCCAAAGGATATATAAAGAACTGATTTTGGAGGTTGTTTGTTTAGCCAAACCAAACATATGTTGTCCTTATTTGAGAGCTGATGTAGACGTTTAGTCGGGAGAATTGGTCCAATTGCCCATTGCTTCTTGTTCTGTGTGCTTTCTAGTTGTGCTATCAAGTCAAGAAAAGTAGTACCTTCAATTACATGGCTTGTGTTATAGATATCACCAGCCCCAATGCCCGTATACGGAGAATAAAAACGTCGTCCTAGGTTTAAGATATCATCAGAGTAACATCCTTTAAGGGAGGGCAACATTTTGTTTTATCTTGAAATATGTTTTTTCTTCATCTACTTCATCTTGTTTTAAGCTGCAGTTGAGTTCATGGTTTGCAACATTTTCACTGTTAATATCCATGGGACAAAAAAGGAGTCACAGGATTCTGTTTTTCTTTAAAGTAATGAAGTGAAGTTTGTGAGATTGTTTTGGTTGGGGTTTAAGACATAAACAGCTTTATATATAGCTTAGAGTATGTCCTTACTTCATGCAACTCATTCTAAAGTGTCTGAATTCACGTGAACCAAATAGCTTTTGTTCAGACTCTGTGTATGTATTAAAAAATCTACTCGCTCTATGTGATACATTTTGAATTCGAGAATCAAACGATTTTTCTTTGACCATGATTTTCTCATATGCCTTTTCGATAATTTCTATTATTAATTATATTGTGACTTATAATACTTTTATGCCGTTTCTTCAATATGTAAAATTTATTTCAAAAAACTTAAAAAACTCTATGTTCAAATTCGTTGTCAAAATTAAGAAGTTTGACTTTCGAAATCCAACGACATCACGTAAATTGGGACAAAGGGAATAAAAAATATTTATAAATATTTGACTGCGATCCCAATTCTTATTGTAGATAAACTTGAGGTCGTTGTGGGAGCTCATATATTTCAAATCTTGGATCCGCCTTTGACATCTACTTATTTAAGCTGAGTTACAAAGGTTATGTTCTTGATACAACAACAACAATAACAACCCAGTATAATCCCACTATGAGGTAGAGAGGCTGTTTTCGATAGACCATCGGCTCCCTCCCTCCAAGAACTACCCACATTGCTCTTGAGGTGACTCGAACTCACAACCTCTTGATTGAAAGTGGAGGGTGCTCACCACTAGAGCAACTCACTCTTGTCGCATGTTGTTGATAGAACATACATTATCCAATTAAAGTATTGGGTTAGTTATACGTTTACTTTTATGTTATTTCTAAAAGTCTTTTCACTTTAGCCTCTCTTTCTTAAATATATAAGAAGAGAAGTTTCAACGGCAATTACTAGAATTTTAGGTTGAGTGTAATAGTTTTTCTAAGTAGGTACGTGATAAAATTAACTATTCTTTCATTTGTATCCATTTATATTTGTTTTTTCTTATTAGCTTTTGTGCATGTCTCCTTTATTTTGGCTGAAGTAAGTCTTTTGATGTGAAATTTCATGAAAGTTTTACTCCTAATGTGTGACTATCCGATGCGAATCTTAAATTAGTTACATAATGCATCTAATGGAAGCACTTCTAGAATAACAGAAATTAATATTCAATAAAGTCTCACCCTTTCGCTCGAGATATATATCTTGAAAATATGTTTTCTCTTGCCCTCGGTTCAAGTTTACCATCTCACACATAAGCATACCGTGACAACTGACAACCAAACACTCTTAATTTGAGAGTAATCAGCATGTGAATTGATTATAGCTATTATTTGTTCGCATATATTAAAAAAGACCGTCAAATGAATCCGGTGGATGCGATTCAACTTCGATTTTCAAAAAATAAATAAATTTTACAATGACACTGCACAACTTCAGAAAGTATAGGAGCTGCTGCTAGTTGTGAACTCTTTTTCCATAGGAACAAATATTAATTAGTACTATGTTGTACTTTTACCTTCATCGTTGCTATTAATTGGCAGGTACATTAATCATAGTCATATAAAAATCATTTAACATTAATTATTCTAATTGCCTTCATTTTTATATTGGATTTTGTACCAATGATTCTGACTTCCTACCTGGAAAAATATATATTCCTTTTTCCAACAACAACATACCCAAAATTATTCTACACCGTAGTGTATTGGGAGTGTAGTGTGTACGCAAACCTTACCCCTACCTTGTGAGGATAGAGAGGCTGTTTCCAATAGACTCTCGGCTCAAAAAAGTATAAGCACCACATTAATGAAAATATAGACAAGAATGAATAATACCAAAAAGCCATATAAAAACAGAATAAAATCACCACATTAGCTTCTGTGCATGCCTCCTTTATTTATTTTGGCTGAACTCAAGTCTTTTGATATGAAATTTCATGAAAGCTTTACTCTTAATGTGTTACTATTCGATGCGAATCTAAAATTATTCACATAATGCACCTAATGAAAGCACTTCTAGAATATTGAAAATTAATCTTCAACAGAGTCTCATCCTTTCGCTCGAGATATATATCTTGAAATATGTTTTTTCTTGCCCTCGGTTCAAGTTTACCACCTCACACATAAGCATACGCATGACAACCAAACACTCTCAATTTGAGAGTAATCAGCATGTGAATTGACTATAGCTATTATTTGTTGGCATATATTGAAAAAGACCGTCAAATGAATCCGTTGGATGCGATTCAACTTCTATTTTCAAAATAAAAATAAAATTATTACAATGACACTGCACAACTGCAGAAAGTATTGGAGCTGCCTGCTGCTAGTTGTGAACTCCTTTCCCATATGAACAAAATATTAATTAGTACTACATTGCTATTAATTGTTGTACTGTTGCCTTTTGTACAATGTTGTACTGTTGCCTTTTGTATGACAACATTGCTATTAATTGAAAGGTATGATAAAATGGTTAAAAGAAAATAGTTATCCACTCATATTATCTATATTATTATAAAAGTATGAATAAAATATTAAATTATAAAAATAATCTTTTATTATTAAGCATAATAACTCACAATAAAAGGATATAATCGGAATTCTAGACATTAGATTGGCTTTGTAGTCCTATTAGTTATAGGACATATTACTACACGTTAGAAATCCTGCGTGATTACCTTTAGGAATTCTATTAGTATAATTATTTTCGGGCATAGATATATAATACTACATGTAAGCATATAAACCTAATACCGTTAGGAACATGTTAGATTTTCTATTAGTATAATTACTTTCGGGATATGGGCATAATTTTAGCCATGTAATCCTATTACTTTTAGGATATACTTCTTAAAAGAATGTCTATTACTAATTTAATTTAAAAACGTATTATATTGTCCAAATCCATTTAGAAACAAGAGAGCCACTATTATTATAAAAGTATGAATATAATATTGATAGAGCAAAATAACCCTAGAATATTAAACAGAAGAACTCATAGGGAAATGACATAGCTGTAATAACTTATTTTTATGGATTACAATAACTTCTATGTTAATTTTTTTAATATTTAAAATTAATACAATCTTGTCTATTGAATTCTTATTAAAAATATGTAGGAAGGTTTAATAAAATCAATTTCATAAGAATCCTCCATATTGGTAATACTTTATAATTCTATAAAGTAGCTACACGGACTGCATAAAGCGTTGAAATTGAGAAAACAATCCCCACGATAATATATTTATTATATTATATTTGAATTGCTTTTCTACTAGAATAATATTTTTTTATTATTAAGTTTTCGTGTAATATAAAACAATATACCCAATTATTAAAGAACAACTAAGATTTTTTTAAGAATATAAATGTGTGAGAAAAGAAAGAAAAAGGTTGGCAAGAATCAATACCACTAGTGATTTTGCAAACATTTAAATCTAAAGGTGGAATGTCAGGTTGATTTTTTTTTTTACTTTTTGAAAATAAAATTTGTTGTGGATATTATTATAATTGTAATGACCCAACTGGTCATTTAACTTTTAGAACCCCGTTCCCTAAAATAAAACTTCTCGTATGTGCTTTTAATGATTTATGACTTGCGGGGATGGTTGGTTCGGGATTTGAAAGTGTTTGGGTTGAAATCGGAACACTTGGTTCCTTAAGTTGGCCTTCAAGTGTTAAGTTTGACTTCGGTCAACATTTTCAGAAAATAACCCCGGAATAGAATTTTGACGATTCCAACAGCTCCGTATAGTGATTTTGGATTTAGAAGCGTATTCGAAATTTTATTTGGAAGTCTGTAGTTAAATTAGGCTTGAAATGGCTAAAATAGGAATTTAAGTTTGGAAGTTTGACCGGGGAGTTGATTTTTTGATATCGGAGTCGGAATCCAGTTCTGAAAATTTTCATAACTCTATTATGCCATTTATGACTTGTGTGCAAAATTTGAGGTCAATCGGACTTGATTTGTTAGGTTTCGGTACCGAATGAAGAAGTTGAAAATTTTAAGTTTCATTAAGCTTGAATTGGAGGATGATTCGTGATTTTAGCGTTGTTTGATGTGATTTGAGGTTTTGACTAAGTTTGTATGATGTTTTAGGACTTGTTGGTATAATTGGTTGAGGTCCTGAGGGGCTCGGGTGAGTTTCGGACGGCTAACGGATCATTTTTGGCTTTTGGAACATTTCTGATAGCTGTTGGAAATTTTCTTCTAATTTCCTTATACGCGATCGCGTGGATTGGGTTGTGATCGCGTAGGCTTAATTTGGCAGCTGAGAATTTGTTCTATGTGATCGCGTGGGCAAGTCCGTGATCGCGTAGGTTAGATTCAGTTGTGCTATGCGAACGCGTGGCTAAGGCTGCGTTCGCGAAGAGGAAATGAAGCAGAAGCTAACCACGCGCTTCATGCTTCGCGATCGCGTAGGCTTGCGCATACTGTGCTTCACGATCGCGTGGGATTTTCCGCGATCGTGTAGGGTTAATATTTGGGCAGTAAAATTTATGCTACGCGATCGCGTGAGGAAGTTCGCGATTGCATAGAAGAAATCACTAGGCAGAGAGCTTAAGTTCTGAAAATGGGATTTCGTCCCATTTTCCATTTTTAACGATTTGGATGTCGGATTTAGGTGATTTTTGGGAGATTTTTAAAGAAAACAATGGGGTAAGTGTTCTTAACTCAATATTGGTTAAATTACCCGAATCCCTCACTATTTTTATCATTTAATTGGTGAATTGAGTTGGAAAAGTTTGAAAACCCTCTTGGATAGATTTGAGTATTTGAGGGCTGAATTGTTATCGAAATTTAGTGATTTTGGTATGGGTAGACTCGTGGTTGAGTGAGTGTTAATATTTCGTAACTTTCGCCGGATTCCAAGACGTGGGTCCCAC